TAGAGTTTCACCATGATGCTAGAGGGTTTAAATAGAGTATCTACAGGCAGATACTAGGTATGACAATTGGTAGGTAATCTATATGGAGAAACCTGTAAATAGACAATGACTAAAGTGGTTCTACCTCAGAATCCTGATACCCAAAATCCCGACACTTAAAATTCTGAAACCAAAATCCTGATTGTATAAAATCTTGACAAAGTAAAATCCCGACAATATTAAAATCCCGATACTCAGAATCCCGACACTCAAAATCCCGATACTATCAAAATCCCAATACTATCAAATCCCGACACTATCAAAGCCCCGACAATATTAAAATCCCAACACTCAAAATCCCGACACTATCAAATCCCGACACTATCAAAATCCTGACACTATCAAAATCCCGACACTGTCAAAATCTCGACACTGTTGCTGTCAAAATCCTGATACTCAGAATCCTGATACTCAGAATCCCGATACTATATTTCACATACTTGTTTTACATCTCTAGATGATAATTGATAGCATTTCGCTACACACTCTATTATATTCTCTGGACAATGTTTCATTTTTGAAACACATTTTAATAGTGTAGTAATCACTTGCACCTGAATTTCATAATTTACTAAAGAAAATATAATAATACTGTAAATGTCATTTATTGATGTATAATTTCAATTCTCGTTAACTTTATTATTATTACCTTGTGTTAATAAGTCACATAATCTATTAGGTACATTTTCTTGAAGTTCAGTATATTCGCAAATTCTCTTAATATCTAAAAGAAAGTAAAATTCTAAATAATTTAGGTGAAGTATAAAATAATTTAGGATTATAGTAAAATATTCAACCCGAAGAGCCCATGAAATTAAGTTCTTTGTCATATTACTAATATCAGCTTCTAAAATTTTTATCGCTTCTGATACTGCATATTGACGAATTTCTTCACTCTTTTTATTATTTTCAATATTTATGAAGACAAACTATGAATATTTGAAACTTTTACAAATGTAAAAAAATACAGAAGATATTTTTATTTATTACTGACTCTTTGAGATAATCAAAAATACAGTGTTTATAGTTTTATCATCCAGTATATCATCAGCAATTTCAAATATTGTGATGATCGTTTTTATTAACCATTCAGAGCTTGGAAGGAATGTGTAAGTTCGCAAGATTGGTAAAATAAAATTTTTTAAGAACAACTTAAATCAAATTAAATATAATTATATAATTTTTATTTGCAAATTAAAAGAATATTT